AATAGGGAGTGGAGAGGCAAGGGAAAAATAGAGGAACTTTGATTGGGCAAAGGGGAGGGAGAGGAGGGAAGGTTCATGGGGGCAGGAAAGATGGTGGAATGAGATGGACATCATTACCCTTGATACATGTATTATTGCACATATGGTATGACGCTACATCATGTACAACCATAGAAATGTAAAGTGCTGCAATAGTGTACAATGAACCAAAATGCATTCTGCTATCATATATACCTAATTAAAATAAATAAATAAATTTTTAAAAAATAAAAGAAAAAGAAGTGTTCCATACTGGTATAAATATATCAAAATAGATTTTACTATCATGTATAACGAAAAAGAACAGTAAAAATTTAAATATATAAAAGTTGAAAATAAATAAAGAAACCTGGATATATTTTTTTAAAAAAGAATCTGACAATTCAGAATATATACATATATCTTCACAACATTTTGAACATTATAGTTCCTATATTAATGTAAGAAGTAGTATTTATACTGAGTGTGATGACACATGCCTGTGTTTCCAGCTGATTGGGAGGCTGAGGCAGGAGGATCACACGTTTTTAGGCTAGTCTCCGCAACCTTGCAAGGCACTAAACAACTTAGCAACACCCTCAAAATAAAAAAATAAAAAAGGCTGGGGATGTGACTCGGTGGTTAAGCACCCCCGGGGTTCAATCCTTGGTACCAAAAATCAGAAATGAAAACATAATATTTATGGCCATGAAATTCAGAATATAAGCTTATTACATTTTTTATGAGAAAATAATTTCAATTATGTATGAACTGACATAAAAATTATAATCATTCATTATTATTAAATGTTTTTGTTCTAGCTTTTCTCTCAAGAGCTCAAAGTGGTTTTCATATCCAGTCAGCTCTATTTTTAAGACTTTCCATGACAAATTAACTCCATAATCCAGCATACTATCAAAACAATATTTTTGACATTTATGTTAACTGACTCATATTTCTTTGTGTCTAATGCTACAAAATGCATAGAATCAAAAATTGTCCTAACAGCAGCGACCTAAGTATTCCATGCTTAAGTCAAACTTTTTCTAACGTAAATACTAATTTCAAAATAAGTGTGCACTTTACCACTTGAAGATAATTTTTTTCCTGTGAAGAGGGGCAAAATACAGAATTCTGATGTATTGTAATAATTTTCAGATTTCTAAATTATCAAACTAACATTAACTAATGTTCAACTACGAACATATTAAACCTATTTTTCCATGACCTAAATTTTTAAAATGTGGAGTTTGGTGACTCTCTACTAACAAAATCTGCCTTAATACTAAAACACCCACTATTTGTGATTTGAAAATACACTTTACTGTACAAAATTATATATTAAAAAATTCCTTAATCAGCACATAATGCAGTGCATATTCAGTTAAACAGAAATTGTTTAAGCACTTTCCAATGAACGACAAATCTGAATATGACTTAAACACTGATTTGTCATTTTATTTACCATGCCTCTTATTCCTATGACACTCACAGAGACAGAGATTCATTTGGAATTATAAAAAGAAACGTTTCTATATTTCATTGTGTAATTAATAAAGTTATATGCATTAAAAAATAAGTCTTACCACTCTCCTGATTTTATAAAGGTTTGTGGTCAATATTTCTTGAATATTAGCCATAACATCCTGATCAGGAGCTAAGGATGAGATTGGCATGGTTGTTTGATGGCTGTGGCTGGAAATAAAATACCTGGATTACTTATGCTCTTTCAACACACAAATATACAAATTCAAAAAACACATTCAAAAAACCTAATGAATCAATAAGTAGATGTTTTCAAAGATATTTTGAAAGGGTAATTGAGGACAGGGTGGAGAGTGTACAAAAGACACATTAAAAAGCATAAATCTGGGGCTGGGGATGTGGCTCAAGTGGTAGCATGCTCACCTGGCATGCGCAGGGCGCTGGGTTCAATCCTCAGCACCACATAAAAATAAAATAAAGATGTTGTGTCCACTGAAAACTAAAAAATAAATATTAGAAAATTCTCTCTCAAAAAAAAAGCATAAATCTGATCTTTCAATGATAATAAAATCAGATATTTAGGTAATTTCTTCTTTTAACCTTACTTATCTCAACATTTAAAATATACTTACAGTAGATACATGAGCATAATATTTAAAAGGGAAGTTCTTTTGATGTGTGCTAAAATTTTATAATTCAAATAACAGTATAATCTATATACAATGAAATATATAAAATGCTGATAATATGTTCCTCAAAATACCTTTAATAAAGTTGAAGATAAAAACCCTTTGATATTTAGTTTGAATAACTTACTCTTCATGGAAAGAAAATTACAAGTAAGATAAATATGATGACTGAGACCAAACATTAGAATTGTGCTATTTTATACTAGTATTGGAAATATTTTTGGGATTTTATTTTGAGTATGTAACACTGTAATAATACCTAAATTTAATTTATACTACTTGGCCACTTTATAATAATATTTTTATGTTAATCTTGAAATTAATGCCTTATTCTCCAAATTCTGGAACATATTATTATTAATAAGGGATATCAAATCCTAACAATTTACTATATTTCTTATCCTAATATTAATTTCAGATTTATATTATTAAATAAAAGGGAAAATAAGTGATTTATATAGTTACTTCAGATAGTGCCTAATTTAGATAAAATAAAATTCACATTTAGGGTTCTAAATTAATAAGATTTGCTATATATACTTCTCAAGTACATCAAGTTTAAGTTGAGCCTTTGATGTGGTTTTATTTTTATATATCTGGCTTGATAAATACAAATATTAATGATGATACCATTCCTAAATACATCCAAATCCTAAGGTACTCAAGGATTTTCATCATCCACTTATCCACTTATCTTTCCTACTCTATAATAGAGTAGAATATCCAGCTCTTCCACCTGCAGAATATCCAGCTGTGATGATTTATAGTAGAAAAGATTTCAGGAGTTCATCTTGTGTAGCCCACATTAAATAGGCAAGTAAAAAACCCAATAAAAATTTTATTTTTAATTAAAACTCATATAAGATAAAAAGTATTTTGTTAATATATTTTGATATCTTATTCCAGCACTTATTTCATAACTTTCTCTTAAAAAGACATGCTTTAACTTCAGTCAATGATTTAGAATTCACAACTGATACCCAGTCATGAATTTAGGATATTTTTGTTCATTTTTACCTTACATAATGTTTACTTTTAATTCTTATAGTTTCCTCTCCTAAATATATTTTTCAGGTTACAATATTAGTATATGCATACTAACAAAAATACAGAAAATATAAAGAGTAATAAAAAATCAAATAATCTCACTACATAGAGAAAACTATGATTAAAACGTGGTGTATGCATTTCCGGATTTTTTTTTATCCAGACACAGATAAGGGCAGAAAAATTTTATATTCTACAAAAAATAATCATATATATATATATATATATATATATACTTTCTTTTTAAAAATTATTATTCAATTTGATAGTGTACCACAGATAAAGGTTCATATAAATACTTACTTTATACATCTTCATCACTTTAAAAGATGTATGTTGTTCTAACTAATTATTAAATATAAAGAAAAGCTAAGTTTTAGACCTTCATTTCTGGATATTGAATAGAGAAATGAGCTATTTATTGGTTAAATATATTCCTGTAAAATCAAGCATTGATCAGTTGAGAAAGATATATTGAATAATAAGTTAGTTAATTATTTAATCTTTGTTTAAATATGCAGCTGCAGTTACTTTATACCAATTTTTAAAAAAAATATTCTTAAAGGAAAAAAAAATTGTATAATAAATTTAATCAAAAGACCAACCCCTCAAGAAAAATCTCATGATGCAGAAAAACATCAAATTCCTACTGAATCAACACACAAAATGAATAGAGTAATAGCTTTCTATTACTTTTTATTCTTATGTTTTCTCTTTTGAGATCTATCTGCTCTCTCTAAACAGTGGCCTCCAGATCTACAGCCAGGAAATCACCAACTTGTATATTTTTTCTTTATTGTTTATCTCCAACAAAAACAAATTAAACACTTAACACTCAATTAAATTCTTTTTTTAAAAAGAGAAAGAGAGAGAGAGAGAATTTTTAAATATTATTTATTTTTTAGTTTTCGGTGGACACAACATCTTTATTTTTATGTGGTGCTGAGGATCGAACCCAGCACCCCGCGCATGCCAGGAGAGTGTGTTACAGCTTGAACCACCTCCCCAGCCCTCAATTAAATTCTTAATCAACAAAAGCCTACAAAAATATTTAACCTAACATCAATCCTTACCTGAAACAAAAATGCAAAGATAATTCTTCCTTGGAGGTAGATAACCTTTTTTAAACCTTTAAAAGCTAAAAGTTTCATAGACATAATTTATTTCATTAAGCTCCATGTTCAACAAAGCAGCCAGTGATACTCAACCAAACATCCTCAATTTTATCTTAAAATTCTTTGTTTTTCCAAAATGTGATGCAAGGAAAGGCAAATTATATTTTGAAACTAAAATACATGGAAGATCTCTGTAATTATCCTGTGATATCTAATTAAACAGATTAAAACCCACACACAATAACACACTAACATATATACTTACAGCAAAGATGTACTAGATGGTGTGTGTGTTAGCTGGCCTGCTTCTGCCAGCTCAATGGCATGTTTTCTCTCAAGCTTTTCATAAAGAAGCACAATGCTGGATTTGGGCTGGTCATATTCTCTGAGCAAAATTTTCTGCAAATATCTGCTGTTGAAATATTCCAATCTGTTAATGAATCAAATAACACATAAATTCCAGGAATTTAATGCCACTATTTGAGGAGGCTTACACTTTGGAGAAAAAAATCACAAAATTGGTTTACCAACTCCCTAATCCAAACTTACTTCATTAAAATGTAAGTTTAATATGTAGTAGAGGGGGAAAAAACTCACAAGAGATTCTAATTTAATCTCTCATCTTTTTTATTATTTTTATTTTTTATAGTGGTACTGGGGATTGAACCCAGGCCCTTTTGCATGCAAGGCAAGCACTCTACCAACTGAATTATATCCCCAGACCCTCTAATTTAATTTCAAATATGTGTTATGAAAAAAAATTATTCTTTAGGGTTAACCAAATAGAGTCATTGAGGCCATGAAAATCAGAGTATAGGAAAAAAAATAAAACTTTAAGGGCAAAGACAGAAATAATGTTAAAGTAGGGTCTTCATTTCAGAAACAGCCATGAAAAAAGAGGATACTTGAAACAACTTATTTTCAAAGACTGAGAAAAGGAATGAGTCATATTTTTGAAAGCTTTGCATAAGGAGCCTGAGTTTAAACTTACACAGTAAACTCAAAAAATGAAAGAAAAATAGTGTTTATTCTCAACTTCATAACAACTGAATGGAAATGTCTGGCCTTGATTCTAGGCTTAAGAGCTCAATTTCAAATTTCCTTAGGAAGCAGGTGGCAGTATTGAGCTCAGAAAATAATGAAACAACAGGGCTGGGGTTGTAGCTCAGTGGTATAGCACTTGCGTAGCACATGTGAGGCACTATGTTAGATCCTCATCACCACATGAAAATAAATAAATAAAATAAAGATATCATATCCATCTACAATTATAAATATTTTAAAAAGAATAAAGAAACTGTAGAATATAATGATAGCAACTTTAATTGATAAAAATAATTGGACAGGGCTGGGATTGTGGCTCAGGGGTAGAGCGCTGGCTTTGCATGGGTGGGACCTGGGTTCGATCCTCAGCACCACATAAAAATAAAGGCATTGTGTTGTGTCCATCTACATCTAAAAAATAAATAAATATGATAATAATAATAATAATAGTAATAATAATTGGACACATAAATTTGTGGGGGTAGGAAAAGATGCTATTTTAGGAAAGGTGGATATTTATTTATAAAACATAAGAAGGGGAAGAAAATGAAAAGAGATTGCCCACATTTGTGCAACAATGAAGAAAAAAAAAAGCTCACTGTACGAAACCATATAGAGCATACTCAAGCAGACAGTGGAGTAATTAACTCAAACACTTTATTATAAAAAAAATGGTGTTTCTCCAAGTGTGGTCCTAGAAATGTCTATTGCAGGCTTGTCCAGGTCCTTTCTGAAAATTACTGAGATCTATACAAAATGGAGTGAATAATACATATATATATTATAAAGAGATTTTTAGAGATTCTCATGGATGTTGTGTCTTTAGACTAATTGATCAAGGACTCCTTCTCTTCCATTTTGCATCAAATTCAAGTTCAGCCATGTAGCCTTTGTTGGGGGGAATCAAGCATAAGTATGAATGGAATAGTTTCCCCAGAGTAAAGGAAATGGGGATTTGAGGCTGATGCTGGGAAAGAGAGCAGCCTAAGGAGGGATTTATCCAGCTGGGATAAGCTGATGAGGGATGGATCCCATGCACAACAGAGACCAGCACAGCTCTTTAAAAGGTAGCAGGCCATTGATGCAACTGACTCTTGGATACTATAGGACTGATCCCTGTGGCTAGGCTGGAAGTTTGTATAGATGACCTCCGAAAGGGCACTTCTTTGGCTTCCTCTCATAAACAGTGTCCAACAAATGCTCCAATATGGCATCAGAGAAAAAAAGCCATAAATATGATAGAAACCACTGCAGACAAAGACTAGACTGAACTTCACTTTTCTGGTATCATATAAGACTTCAGAGTTTTGCATAATCCACATTCTGATGTATGAATATGGCAGGTAAGTCCTGCAAGCCAAAGGCATGGCTAGCCCTCAGAAAAAAACAAGAAAGTGAAAATACTTCTCAGTCTTGTAAAGAACTAGCAATTGAGCTTCAATGTGAAGAATAAGAGTCAATTTCTTTGTTTACTTATCTTCTGTACGTTTTTCAAATTTTTCTAAGATATAAAGATATATATATATATATGTGTGTGTGTGTGTGTGTGTGTGTGTGTATTTTTCACATCTTGGGTATCAGGATGAGAATCTGTTCTTCTGAACTGACAATAGCTAGGAGCTCACGTCATTAATGGACAAGAAACAGTAAAATTATTAACATGATACAAACTGGACTATTTCATATGAATATGTAAATTATACATACATATTTTCAGATTTTCCTTTTGCAAGTGGTTTCATAAGCTTCTATTTTAACCCTCTATGTTGTATATGTTCATGTATTTATGCCTTGTAGAAAACAACAATTTTCCTCTTCTCATAGAAAATTTTTTGTTTATTTTACTTTCACCTCACAGTATGTATTGAGTCTAATAATGATAATCATTTCTGCCTAAGAAAGGGAGGAATTGAAAAGTACAAAGGAGATAATTAAGCAACGTTCAAAGTTACGACTTTTAAAGTGAATATTGTTTTCTTCTTTTTCTTCCCTTCCAAGAAATGCTTTAAGACATGCATTAGCTGTCCCTAGGAAAAAATTACTTTTGTGAAATATAGAACTTTGATAGCTGAAAAATGTAAAATAATAATGATAAAAATGTGAACAAAAGTCTCTGGGAGGAGAGAGGTACATCCAACAGTTTCATTGTTTTTCTACCAGCACCATAGATAAGAGAGAGGCAGAGAAACCTCAGGAGGAAGATATACTTGTGATTCTGGAAAGATCATTTCTCTCTTTGAACAATTATCTTAGAATGTTTGTGTTATTATGCTATTGATAAAGGAGAAAAAAACATTGTGAATTAAATATAAAATACAACTCATATAAGTAAAAAAAAAATATTGGGGGCTGTAGGTGTATCTCAGTGGTACAGCACTTGCCCAAAATGCACGAGGGGTGGGGGTTGCTGTTTGACTTGTCAGTAAAGGAAAAACAATTAGTGTAAATTCTCCTGAATTCATTGTTTACATCCTTTTCCTGTGATCAAAAATTAACATTAAAATTCAATAAGTGGAAAATATCTATTTTGTTATATCCTTTGCATTTATAATTATAGCAAAGAAATATATTATTTTTAATAGAGTTCACTATAAATTGTTTTAGTACTGGGGAAGATCAGTATAGTAATTTCTCTTGGTTCTCTTACCTTAGCTTCACTTTATAACTATTTTGGACAGTAACATAAAAGGATGCCTACAAATCATCTGGCATCAGGACTTGTGTCATGTATTTGTTGCAAAAATGAAATCTGATATTTTACAAAGTTCCAGTCAGGACTTAACATCAAATCAGGGAATTTTAATATTCACTTCTAAAGCAGCACTTAGAAAGAGATCATAATTAAATATCATTCAAATATTTGGGTTAAACTCTTGGAACAAATTCAGTATAAGCATATAATGTCCCTTTATAGTTCACTGGCACTCATTTATTTATTCAAAAATATTTACTGGCTGCCTACTGAGTAAAAGGATCTCTTCTAAGTGCTGCAGTTACAGAATTTAACAAGATAGACAAAAGTCTCCACTTTCACACAACTGGTATTTTAGTGAAAGAAAAGCATGCAAAATTATGCATTTTATATTAATTATATCATTAAAACCTTTAGAAAATATTTAATAAACATGTTAGAATACCAGAGATTTATATATTTTTCATACAATTACAATACACTGATACAATAGAGAAAAATTGAATGGTGAGGGAAGATGTCTCTGATGAGGCAAAATTTAAATTAAGACTTGAATGGCAAGAAAATATTGGACATGCAAATATTATATAAAAGTGCATTCCAGGCAGAGGAAATAGTATGCACTGACTTTAAGGTAGAAGTATTATGAGTTTACTGGACAGAAGAAATAGAATAACAATATGTCTGCAGTATAGTAAATGGCAGAGAGAATACTATAAGATGGTGTAAGGAAATTTAGTAGTTTCTTTGAAACTATACTTAATATTCCCAAGAGAAAGGGAAGGCCTGTGAATTTTATGACATAAGGTTTAGCTTTACAGTGTGGATTTGGTGTCATTTGTATACATTTCTTGGTTAAAAAAAAGTTCTAACCTTTCTTTTAAGCTGCCATTTTTTATAATATATAGATGAATAAATATCAAAAATACCCAAAAGAACCAGACATAATGAGAAGTTGACTCATTTTGTTTCTTTTTTCAACACAAATACAGATGTAACTTTTGGCAAATTCTCACCTGTCTTTCCAATAATACTGTCCCCAGTGTCCTGATATATCTTCTATGCCCGCCAGCAAATGATCAAAGAACTGAAACAGAATGAAACATGTATCTAAATACAAAGCATATATGAAAAACTTGATCAATCACTACAAAATAAAAGAATCCGTCAAAAGCATCTACAAAATTGTTGACTACTTGCTTATTTCATCCTAAAATCTTTTTTATTTATAGATATACCTGACTGTAGAGTGTATTTTTTCAGTTATCAGTTTCTTTTATTTTTAAAAGATTTGTTCTGTTTCGATATACATGACAGAAGAATTTTTTGTATGTGGTCCTGGGGATAGTAAAGTGTATTCTGATATATTATAAACTCTTTTCAGAGTAAATATAAAAAGAAGCATCAACGCTTATAGGTGACAATGTTTGCAGTATCTCTAGTATATTCATTATAAATGCAGTATTTGAAGTCAAAAGAAGTTCATATCAATTAATACTACATGACAGATTCATTCATCTATCAAGGATCTGGGCTTGGTATTATTAAGTAAACAAAAGAAGCAAAAGGCATGACCCCTACCTTTGAAGGACTTAGAACCAAACTGGAGAGGGAGGCACCACTTAGACAGAGATGAAGGTGAAATTTGGAATGCATTTTTGTATAAATGAAACATAAAAAGACAAACTTAGGAAAGAAGTAGAAAAAAAGTGGAGTTAGAGGAGGTTTATATAAAAATGTGCATTATGAGATTGACCCTGATTAAATGGGGGTATGTATGGAAAAAAAAAGAAATCATACTATGCACTGTGAAAAGCATGAGAAAATAAGGAACTTTAGGGAAGAATCATAAAAATAGAAAGCTGGATAGATATAGGCCAAGGGTTGGGCAAAAGAGAGCAGCTTACAAAATGTTTTGAATATTAAAATTAGAAGTTTAATTTGATATAACATCTCAAAATTGCATAATCTGAATTTATGTAT